AGGCCAGAACACATGCTTTAAATACGGGAGGCCTGGATTCAACAACCAATACCCCTTGGCTCCCCAAACACCACTGGTAGTGATACTCGAGCACAGAGCCAGGAGTAGCCTCTGAGCACTGCCAGGTATGGCCCCAAAACAAAACAACCTGAGAAATAGTCTCTTTGTCTGTTTGTTTGGGCCATACCTGGAGGTGCTCAGGGTTTACTCCTGTTCTGCACTCAGGGATTCATCCTGGCAGGGTTCGGAGGACCCTTTGCAGTGCCAGGGATCGAACTTGGATCACCCATGTGCAAGGAAAGTGCCCTCCCCACTGTACCATCTCTTGGTCCCAGATAGTCTTTTATTTATTTATTTTTTTTGCTTTTTGGGTTACACCCGGTGATGTACAGGGGTTACTCCTGACTCTGCACTCAGGAATTACTTCTGGCAGTGCTTGGGGGACCATATGGGATGCTGGGGATCGAACCGGGGTCAGCCGTGTGCAAGGCAAACACCCTACCCGCTGCGCTATTACTCCAGCCCCGACAGACAGTCTTGATGTGGGAGAAACGAGCAAGTTTCTGTCACAGTCCAATCCTTTGCTCCAGCTTCTTGTCCGGAGACCAGTCGGGACGCTGCTAGTCAGCCCACCACCATTACACCCTCTTGTGTGTGGAACACGATGGCATCCAGACATGGGCTCCTGTCGTTCGCCTGCCCAGTGCAGTCATCTTAGTTACTGGTTCCAGCTGCTGATGGAAGATCAGGGAGATTAAAGGGCTGGCAAGTGTGGACAGGCTAGTTTGAGTCACTGTTGGCCCAGTGCTGGACACAGTGTCTTGTCTGTCTGATTGGTCTGTGCCCTGGGTTTTGGCGATGGGCTGCGCTGCTTGGCATCTGTCTCCTTTGCACCCTGGGGATCTGGTGCAACTCCCTGGGAGTTGGTGGAGCCTGGCACTTAGGAAAGACAGGCAGTGAGCTGCGGGGGAGGGCAGTGGGAGTCATCACCCTCTGACAGGAAAGGCTGGTCCATGGTCCATGCCTTTGTGCAGAGAGGATATCGGGAAGCAGTTCCCTGTGGAGTGAACTGAGTCTACGCAGAGTACCTGCTCTAAGACAGAGTGTGTCGGGGGACCGGGACACCCCACTCCCAGCCCTTACTCTCCTTGGCTCTGGGGCCATCATGACACAAGGAGAATGACACAAGGAGCTCTGTGCTCGAGTGTCATGATGCAATGAAACACACAGATCCAGAGGAAGATTGGTGCCTGGTTTCTCAAGAGCCGCTCTGGAGCAGAAACTGATCATAAGGTGCCCGCGGGGACTGGAGAGCTAGAACAGCAGGTAGAGCACTCGCCTTGCATGCAGTCAATCCAGGCGCAATCCTGGGCATCCCACAGGGACCCTCGAACACCATGAGTAACCCCTGAGTACCCCATGTATGACCCTCAAACCGAAAAACCAAACAAACAAAAAAAAAGGTGCCTGAAGAATTCTTGTTTTTTTTGTTTGTTTGTTTGTTTTTTTGGTGTGTGTGGAGGCATACCCTGTGGTGATCAATACTTACTCCTGGATCTGTACTTGGACCACTTCTGGCAGTGCTCGGGGCACCATATGTAGGGCTGGGATCAAAGGTGGGTAAGTTGCAGGCAAGGCAAGCGCCCTACCTGCGATATTATCATACCAGAAATCAACACTGAGGATCAATGGCTTTCTAGGCCACTTCCAGTGTCAGAACTGGGTCCCTGGCATTCCAAGATAATAGAGAGTTGGCAACAAATAGGAAATGACTATCACTGCATGTCACTGAGAAGAATTAGTTTTGGACACAGAGAAAGAGCTTACAGATAAACAGATAATCATAAATGCATTAAATCATTCAGGAAAGGTCAAGTGTTTGAGTTCTTTAAAAGCACTAGCACCAGGAAACACTGCCCAAGATTTGGGAAACACTGTTTCACCTGGATTCCAGCTGCTGGTTGGCAGGCTGACTTGGGCTGTCCTTGGTAAAAAAATCACCATCCATTTCATGTTCCGGTTTGGACTCAGTTTCCTGAGGCAGCAGAGGCAGAAATAATGACGAGCTCAGGCTGGTCAGCTGCAAACTCCCCCATCTCCCGGTCCAGTCGTGTCAGGTGGGCTCTCGCTGCCCAGATCTTACCAGACTCTTTGTGCCCCTCCACTACGGGAGGGAATGCCCAAGACACAGACCCCGACTCTCCACGGGGCCCCATTCTTGGCAGCTGTAGTTAAGAGCCTGCAGTTCCATGCGGTCCCATGCTCCAGCTGAAACTGGCACTCTCTTACCACAGAGGGTAAATATTTGGGAACCAGTGGTTTCTGCTGCAAGTACCTTTCATGGTCAAAAGGTATATGGGACGAGGCAGAGAGGAGATTCAATCCAAGGGCAAAAAGAGGAGGAAGTAGGGGCTGGAGCAATAGCACAGCGGGTAGGGCGTTTGCCTTGCACGCGGCTGACCCGGGTTCAATTCCCAGCATCCCATATGGTCCCCCAAGCACCGCCAGGAGTGCTTCCTGAGTGCAGAGCCAGGAGTAACCCCTGAGCATCGGCTGGGTGTGACCCAAAAAGCAAAAGAAAAAAAAAGGGTGGGGGAGGGAGGAAGTTAAGGGGAGGGAACAAAGTTTCACGGGCAGGCAGTAAATGGTTGAAATCTTGTGAAATGGGCATGTGTTTGCTTTGTCTGTCATGAAAGTTTCTACTTCGGTTTTAGCGCTTCCTCTCAGACACCCACAAGATTCTGTTTCTCGGGGCTGGAGAGATAGCACAGCAGGTAGGGCGTTTGCCTTGCACGTGGCCGACCCAGGTTTGATTCCCAGCATCCCATATGGTCCCCTGAGCACCGCCAAGAGTAACTCCTGAGTTCAGAGCCAGGACTAACCCCTGTGCATCGCCAGGTGTGACCCGAAAAGCAAAAAAAAAAAAAAAAAAAAAAAAAGATTCTGTTTGTCTGGGCATTCGCCATTCGCCACGCTCCCTGACTTACAACTCTCCATCAGTCTTGGCTCTCTCAAGAGGACTGTTGGAAGTGCTCGAGTGATAGCACAGCGAGTAAGGCATTTGGTTGGTATATGGCTGCCCCAGGTTCAATCCCCGGCACCCCGTATGGACCCTGGGCATGGCCAGGAGTGATACATGCAGATCTAGAAATAGCCCTGAGCACCACCAGGTGTGGCCCTCCTAACCCCCTAACCCCGCCCCCCCCAAAAAAAGAAGACTGTTGCAGGGGTGGGAGAGATAGTACAGCGACAGAGGGCTTGTGTTGCACACAGCTGACACCTCACATTGTCCCCGAAGTTGCCAAGAGTGAGCCCTGAGTACAGAGCCAGGAGTAAGCTCCAAGCACTGCTGGGTGTGGCCCCCAAACAAAACAGAAAAAATGGCTGTTGGAGAAACAGAATGTTTTGGAGCACAAACCCCAAAGCTGGCAGACTGAAAGATCAGACAAGACTGATACTTTGTGCATTTATTTATTCAAAACTTTTTCTTTTTTTTTTTTTTTGCTTTTTGGGTCACACCCGTAATGCACAGGAGTTACTCCTGGCTCTGTACTCAGAAATCACTCCACAGGGGTTACTCCTGGCTCTGCACTCAGGAAGCACTCCTGGCGATGCTCAGGGATGCTGGGAATCGAACCTGGGTCAGCTGTATGCAAGGCAAACGCCCTACCAGTTGTGCTATCTCTCCAGCCCCTATTCACAACTTTTAAATTTTGGCCCCATTAACCTTTACAGTGCTATTAATGGTAGGGCTTCATGTGCAACAGAATCCAACCCTACACCCTCAGCTGGACTGTCCCTTTGCCTTTGCCCTCTCCTAATGATCCCTTCCTTTAGTAGTGAAAGGAACTGGCTAACGACCAGTTCTTGTTCTGTGTACTGACGCTGAAAGTCACTGATTTGCTCGAGCGGGCACCAGTAACGTCTCCATTGTGAGATTTGTTACTTTGGCATATCGAATATGCTACGGGGAGATTGCCAGGCTCTGCCGTGCGGGCGGGATACTCTTGGTAGCTTGCTGGGCTCTCCGAGAGGGGCGGAGGAATGGAACCCAGGTGGGTTGCATGCAAGGCAAACGCCCTACCCGCTGTGCTATCGCTCCAGCCCCAACCAGGAGTTTTGAAAACATTCCCATTACCGGGGGAAAAAGGAGCGAGGACAGTCTTAAGGCATCTGTCTTGTCTGGCAGTACCCAGGAGCTGGAAACACCATGGAACACCCTGCTGGGCGCTGGATCCTTATCCTCCACCCCCGCAGGTCAGAGACTCAGAGCAGGGTGGGGAGTCCCCAGGTGGGGTCTTTCTCCCCCCGGCCCCCTCCTCCTCCTCCCACCTCCCCATACTGAAACAAAAGTCCAAGACAGCCAGCCCCGGCTGCGAGCCGAGTCTCGCCAGCTAGGAGGGGAGCCGCTTTGCCTCGCCAAGGCGTTCAAAGGGGGACGCATTAGATACCCACCCATCTGCTGGGGATGAAGGTCGGAAGCGCCAGGCCCTGGCGGCACTTCGGGGGGCGCCTGGCGCTCGGGTTTCGGCCGGTCTCCTCCCGGGAGAGCCCAGGACGTGGGCGAGGCCTTCCCGTCTTCTCTCGGGGCGCGTCTGCTCCAGCCCCCCGCACCCTCGGCTGCCCTCCCTCACGCAGTGAGCACACCCGGGCAGGCGGCGGGGCTGCAGAAGAGGTGGCCCGCGGGCATACCCGGCGGCAGGTGGCCGCTACACCGACGCAAGTCCAGGTTGCGCAGTGCATGCACCCAGCTGGGGATCGGCCCGGCTGCACCGGGCGGAAAAACAGGCTCCCCCAGGGCCGCGGGACCCACGTGCCCGCCCGCCCGGCGCCCGCCGGGTCCTAGCGCCCGCCCGCTCGCTCCAGCCAGCCCGCGGCCCCGCCGCTGCAGCGGGACTTTCCCAGCCCCTCCCGCGCCGCCAGGGGCGGGGCCTCGGGCCCCCGGCTCCTGATTGGCCGAGGTCTCGACACACCCCCTTCGCCCACGCTCGGCGGGGTGAGAGGTCAGCGGCGCGCCGGGCCATCAGGGTGACAATGGCGGGTCTCTGGGTGGGAGCAGCGGCGCTGGTCGCGGCTGGACGGCGTGGGCAGCGGACGCCGTTGTGGACCCTGAAGGTGAGGAGCGGGGCTTGGGGCGGGCGCCGCCTGACCGAGTGGCCGGAGGGTCTGGGACCACCCCGGGCCTTGCCGGGACCCCTCTACCCCGCCACGGACCCTCCGAGTGGGCACTGCAGTGGTCAGCGGCCAGCAGCTTCCGCTCGGTGCACCGAGGGCCGAGGAGCCTCCCCCGCGCGCGTCCGCTCGGCGCCCCCGCGGCGCGGGGACAACCTTCAAGGCGGTCACCTGCCGGCCCCTGCTCCCCTCACCCCCCACGTTCCTCCCCCCCCACCCCGCCTATCCTGGGGGGGGGGGTGTCCCGAGTGACCCTGGAGCTTCCATTTACTCGGGTCGGTTTTTCCTGCGGGGACGGGACACTGCACCGGCTGGCACGTGGCCCTGGGCTGCCCCGGGTGGGGGAGGCTGTGGAGCCTGTTGCAACAATGTGACAGCCGGGCGAGCCCCCTCTGCGTGCCGGGCACCGTCAGCCCCAGCCTCCTGTTTCTTCCAAACTCTTCTTGGTCCCGCTGGTTGGGTTGGTCCCCCGGGTAGCCTTCCTTGCCTGACCCAGAGACCCGACAGGAGGTGTGTAGGTCACACACCTGCCTGATTTGAGCTGTCAGCTAACACGCTTTCCTCTGCAACTTCTTTCTATCAAAATGAACGAGGTCCGTCTGCCTGCAGACATCCTGCTTCTTAGCCTACCTTTTATTATTTTACTAGTATTCTTCCTATTTATTTTTTTGGGGGGTTTGTTTGGGGGCCATATCTGGCGGTGCTCAGGGGTGACTCTGTCCTTAAGAACTACTCCTGCTTGGGGCTAGAGTGATAACACAGTGGGTAGGTCGTTTGCCTTGCACATGGCGGACCCGGGTTCCATTCCCAGTATCCCATATGGTCCCCTGAGCACCGCCAGGAGTGATAACTGAGTGCAAAGCCAGGAGTAACCCCTGATCATTGCTGGGTTTTGGTGACCCAAAAAGGAAAAAAAAAAAGAGAAAGAATTATTCCTGGCATGCTTGGAGGGTTCATATAGGGTGCGGGGGATTGAACTCAGGTCAGCCACGTGCAAGGCGAACACTCTGCCTACTGTACTATCCTCTGGCCCCTTACTAGTACTATTTTTGGATTTGGGGCTGCACCTGGCTCTGTGCACAGGGATCAATCCTGGCAGGGCTGTGGAGCCAGGGATCAATCCCCAGTTGGCTGTGTGCATGGCAGTGTCCTCCCGGATGTGGATGTGTTATGACCCGGGGCCCTGTACCCTGGCCTTTAAAGATCCATCTGGAACCTGATTGGTTGTTGCTGAGTTTGAGAACTGGAAGACTCTCAGAGAGAATCTGGTCTGTCCTTTTGGAAAGAGGAGCTGACGCTCTGAGGCCCAGGTGAGCTCCTGGGGGAGCTGCAGCCCCCTGCTAGAACTGAGTCAAGCCAGTCTGCGGCTGTGCTGGGCTTGGTTTTGGCATTCCCAGGGCCACAGTGCCTTCGTCTAGCTTTTATTTATCCACTTGTGTTTGTGGCACTTGGTGACCAGGCAGTGCTGGGGGTCCAGCCCAGCTGCCACGAGCAAACTATGTGCTTCAGCCCTCGAAACTGCTCTCAGCCCCTGCCCCCTTTTAAGATGATGATGATGATGATGATGATGATGATGATGATGATGATGATGATTTTGCTTTTTGGGTCACACCCGGCAAAGCACAGGGGTTACTCCTGGCTCTGCACTCAGGAATTACTCCTGGCGGTGCCCCGCGGACCATATGGGATGCTGGGAATCGAACCTGGGTCTGCCGCGTGCAAGGCAAATGCTCTACCCACTGTGCTATCGTTCCAGCTCCCCCCAGTGCCCCCTCCCCCCCTTTAAGATTAGCTTGTTGGGGGCCCAGAGAGCTAACCAGGGCTGAGAACATGCCTGGCATGTACAAGGCCTGAGTTCAATTTCTGACACAGTTTCCCTAGCAACCCAAATGTGAACCTCCCCTGCTTCCCCCCTCCCCAGAAGAAGCTAATTTATTATTTTCCTTTCTCTCCGTGGAAGGCTAGGCTGCAGAGATCAGCCTGGCCCTCAAGCGTACAGGCATTCATTTTTCCTCTGAACCACATTGGAGCCCATCCTGCTCATTATTTCTTCATATCTCTTATTTTATCTTTATCAGCTGGCAGTTATAACGTGTTTACATATGTTGGCTGCCCTGGGCCATCGGCTTCCAGCCACTCAGATTTTTTTTTTTTTAAATGTAGGAGAGAGAGGGCTGGAGCGATAGCACAGCGGGTAGGGCATTTGCCTTGCACGCAGCCAACATGGCCGACCCAAGTTCGATTCCTCCACCCCTCTCAGAGAGCCCGGCAGGCTACCGAGAGTATCCCGCCCGCATGGCAAAGCCTGGCAAGCTACCCGTCATGTATTCGATATGCCAAAAACAGTAACAACAAGTTTCACAATGGAGACATTACTGGTGCCCGCTCGAGCAAATCAATGAACAAGGGGAGGACAGTGCTAATGTAGGAGTACTGCTATTTATTCAGCCATTGATTAAACTGATTGAATTGAAGCCACTTAGACTTCTGTGTCTTCTCAACTTACTTTGTCGGTGATTAGCAGCTCCTTTATGGGCCTTTTATTTTTCATTTGTTTTGGGGCCATCACAGGCTGTCAGGACTTATTCCTGGCTTGGTGCTCAGGGATTATTCCTGGTGGGGCCCGGGATTCCATTCTCAAAGATAGAACTTGGGTCAGCTGTGTTCAAGGCAAGAGTGTTATCTGCGGCACTAGTTCTCACTGGTCCTTTTAGCCTTTATATTTAAAAAAAGAAACAAAACATAATTTATTTATTGGTTTTTGGGCTCTACCCAGCAGTGCTCAGGAGTTACTCCTGGTGGTACTCAGGGGACCATATAGGATGCTGGTGGGGATTGAACTTGGGTCATGTACCTGGCAGACACTCTCCCTGCTGTGCTGCCTCTCCGGTTCTCCCTTTCAGCCTTTTGAAAAAACAAATCTTGTGGGTTATATCCCGTATTCCATGTCTAGGGGATGAATATTATTTCTGGTCTCTTAGATGTTTGTGAGCAAAACCAAGTAGGTATAAAATGCCTTATTTGGGAAGAGGTCCTGGTGCAATAGAAAGATTAAAATCGACTGGTTTGACCAAGTCCAGATTTTGAGTTGTGTGTCCTAGCCTGATTCCACACTGGTGTGTCGTCATGTGAGTTGTTGTGCTTGATCCTTCCAGCAGCCGTATGTGTCATCCCTGTTGACGGCGAGGCGATTGCGGTGCCAAGTGTCTGACTTGCCCCAAAGGACAGAGCACAAAGTGGCAGAGGCCGGGTTTCGGCCTCCACAGCCTCCTGCACTCATGGCCGTTCCCCACGGCTGAAGGCCAGAGAGGACTCGCCTTTGGAAGTGACAGCTGAAAAGTGTTGCGGGTGACTGTGTGAGTTCCTTCTCAGAGACTAGCAGTGCCTCCAGGGTGAGCACAGTGCATGCAAAGGTCCTGTGGCCAGTGTGAGCGGCATACATGCTGCAAAAACCAAGAGAGGTCTATGGAGGCTCTGGTCAAGCCTAGATGATAGTGCTTGGGGAGGGTTGAGTTGCAACCTGCAGGGCCTGGGGCCAAGGTGAGGAGTTTGATCTTCTGTGGCGATAGGAGGCACTGCACCAGTGTGTTTGGTCAGAGAGACCGAGAGAGAGATGGAGGTTGACTGCTTGCGGCTCCATCCTCAGCATATGCAGGATAACACGCTCTCGATCGGCTCGGCAGTTCATGCCCTTTGAATTCAACTACATGCACTGATAATCCCTACCGTGTTGCGGGTCCTGTGACAGATGTCTTGCATTGGTGTCCTCTACAGCAGAGCCGACTGCACAGCTGGGCTGTGGGTAGGGACGGGTCCCCCCTAGCTCATGCTCGGTGGGTACTCCAGCCCTTCCCAGCTCGGCCCTGCCCTGGCCTCAAGTGACTTTAGCTGGGAAAACATGCCAGCTCCACGGCTGTGGCCTGGGCTTGGAGCACACAGGGTGCCGCTGGTGGGGCCGGGGGGTGGGGGGGTGCTGCATCCCGGGGATGGGTGGCAGGGTCCCCATGCAGCTCAGAGCTCCACTGCCTCGCTTGCTCACTCTGTACTTCCTGTAGCTCCTAGCAACCCCCACCCCATCAGTCTCTGTCCTCATCCCTCATCCACCCTTTCTCTCATCTATTTCCTTTGTAAGACACTTGTCACCGAATAGAGGAGGGCCACAGCAGGCTCAGGAGCCCTCTAAAGATTTCTCAAGGGGCCAGAGCAACAGCACAGCCGGAAGGGTGCTTACCTTGCATGTGGCTGATCTGAGTTCGATCCCTGACATCCCATGGGGTCCCCGAGCACCGCCAGGAGTAATTCCTGAGTGCAGAGCCAGGAGTAACCCCTGAGCAGAGCCAGGTGTGACCCAAAAAGCCAAAAGTAAAAAAAAAAAAAGACTCAAGGCCCCTTTCCCTCAGAGGTCTCACTGGCCAGTTCCTGAACAGAGACCCCCCAGCCCTGCCCGGTGAGAGCGGGCTTGGGGCTCTGTGTCTTCACACGGGACTGAGTCAGCTGGACACACAGACATTCAGAGTGATGAGTGATGGCCCATGGGCTGGAGTGGCTTTGGTGTTGGGAGGGTCCCCAAGAAAAACTGGGGAGAAACGCGTGAGCTTGTGGCCCTCAATGTCCTTGCAGCTGACTGTCGTGTGCTGGTCATCAGGCGCTCTGGGTGGGCAGGGTGGTGGCCCTGGGGAGTGTTCTCGGCACTGGGTCTGGAGGGCTTGGAGTGACGCACTCGTGGGTGGGTGTGAGCGTCAGGGAGTGTGGGCCTAGTGCTCTGCGGGCATGCGGTGGGTGGGGGGCAGCTCTGCGGAGATCCAGGCTGCAGGGGAGTGGGGGGAGGGGGGAGGCACCAAGCTGTTGAGGAGGCTGAGCCCTGGGCACCTTTGGAACCCGAGTCCCTTGGACGCAGCCCAGGAGGCACGAAGCTGCGTCCACATTTAATTATCAACGTCCAC